CTAAATTACAATCATTATCTAGTCCAGAAGAAGATGAATTATCATCAATATCATCTTCAATGAAAATGAATGCATCAAGTCCTCAACAACAAGCTATTGTTCATTCATTTCTTGAACAATTTGATTATGCTTTATCAATAATGGAACGTGAATGTTCATATCATCCAACAGCTACTAATTATCGTATGCTTGGTAAATTACGTATAAAAGCTAAACGATTTGATGATGCACGAGATGCATTTGAAAAATGTATACAAGCTTGTACAAATAGTATTACAGATCAAACAATTGAACTTCATGGTGCTTATTTAGATTTAAGTAAATGTCTTATACAACTTAAACGTTATCCACAAGCTATTGAACAATTAACTATACTTATTAAACTTCAACAACCAAATCAAAATGCTGAAGCTTATTTACAACGTGGTATTGCAAAAATGAGAATGTTTACTAAAAATACTGCTCATGAATTAGTAAAATTATCATCAAATAGACGACCATTATTAGATATTAATAAAGCACTTGTAATTCAATCAAATAGTGCTGAAGCATATCTTGCACGAGCTGCTTGGTAAGTATCAAAGTCATGTGAAATTTGCTGTTTCTTTTTTTTTTTAAATGTACTTAACAATAGGAGAAACACTAGGAGTGAAGTAGTACATTTTACTGCTCAATGAATATCAATGTATATACTCACATAATTCAAACTGGACAAAAAAAAACGTCGGTACACTATTAGGTATAACATGCGCCACACCAGCGGTATTTGTCGGTATTAAGAAAAAATCGTCGATAGACCGACAATCAATTGGCGGTAGTTTGATACAATGAGTTTCTTAGAAAAGGAAATAAATTAGAATAAGACAAAAAAAAATTTCTTTTGCCTATAGTCATTGTTCTCTCTTTACTATTTATTTTCACGAATTTTTAATCTTTCATATGAAGATCAATCTTTATATTCTATTACTTTAATTATTTAGTATTCCTTTTAATCTGTTGATTTAATATTTTTGTTTTTAAGGTATGCTCGTTGTGAACGTTATTCAAAAGG